AGCCAAACGACACGACTTTCGATGTGAACAAGAATCGCCTGATTAATGATGTAACACTAAGCTGTTTGGCCAACGGGTATCCAACCCCTTCGTACACATGGTACCGAGAGGTATATGTAGACGACAGACTCGAGTACCAAAAGATTGATCCTCTGGCGCAGGATCGATACACGATATCTGGAGGCAACCTGATCATATACGAGCCCAAGCAAGCCCTGGACCAGGGCGCGTATCATTGCGTGGCGGAAAACAAATTTGGACGAATTCGATCCGAAAGCGCACATTTAAACTTCGGTTTTATTATGGAGTTCAACCTAAAACGGTCTGCGGAGACAAGCGAGATGAACTGGGGAAAATCAATATTCTGCGACCCCCCGCAGCACTATCCCGACGTACGCTATTACTGGGCTCGCGACTATTTTCCGAACTTCGTGGAGGAGGATCAACGCGTATTCGTCTCCCGCGATGGGGCCCTATACTTCTCTTTCATTGAAACTGTGGACCGAGCCAACTACTCGTGCACCGTGCAGACCCTTGTGTCGGACACTGGCCGCAACGGGCCCTTCTTTCCGTTGCGCGTCACACCCAACAGCAACTATCAAGCACTAATATTTGCCAATACCTTTCCCAAAGTATTTCCGGAGGCGCCAGTGGCAGGTGACGAGATTCGGCTGGAGTGCATGGCCTTCGGTTACCCCATTCCGTCGTACAACTGGACCCGTCAAGGCCTACCTCTCCAACGCAATGCCTACACCATCAACTATGGGCGCGTCTTAATAATCCAAAATGCGACCACGAATGACAACGGCGAGTACTCCTGCACTATTACCAATCCCCGGAAGACACTGATAAAAAGCATATACATCAATATTCAAATGCGCCCACAATTTACCATTCCTCTTAAAGACATGATAAAAGACTACAACAGTGACGTAACTTTCATTTGCGAGGCATTCGCTATTCCAGACGCGAATTACACGTGGTACAAAAATGCCGAACGGCTCGACCCAACGACTATTAATCGCGACCGTTACATTATCCAAGACAATGTGTTAACAATTAAGTTTATAGAAAAGGATAAGGACGACGCAATGTACCAGTGTGGTGCCCAAAACCAACTGAAGACTTCCTTCTCTTCGGCGCAGCTCCGAGTGCTGTCTATGAAGCCGTCTTTTAAAAAGCATCCCCTCGAATCTGAAGTCTATGCTGTTTACAACGGCAATACGACAATTGTGTGCAACCCGGAGGCCGCTCCACGTCCGAAGTTTCAATGGAAGAAGGATGGACAAGTTATTGGCTCGGGAGGCCATCGGCGCATTCTGCCCAGTGGTACCCTGATAATAGCACCCACGTCGCGTGACGATGAGGGTATTTATACTTGTATTGCATCAAACCAAGCCGGCACAGATGAATCACACTCACGAGTTATTGTATTGCGTAAGTAGAAAATGTCATTCAACTCCAATATATTTTTTAGAAAGTAATGCTATTTTGTCAAAAAAAAAACTAACGAGTGTGTAACTAATAGTGTGAATCCTAATATCCAATTTACAGCGCTAAAAAATATTCGATAATATTTTATATTAATGTAAATCCCACTAAAAAAAATCATGTTAAATATTTACTTTCATAATGAAACTAATTTAGTAGTAAATTTTAGCCAAAAACTGTTACCACAACTTAACTAAACTTTTTTATTCAATTTTTTTTTTTAGAGGAAATTCGTTTTATTGAAACTCCACCACAACGCATCGTTTCCAAGGAACACGACTTAATCTTCTTACATTGTGAGGCCGCCTTTGATGAACTGCTGGACATTGCTTATGTTTGGAAACACAACGGTGAAGTCTTGAAAAACAATCACGACGGCACCGGACGTATAGTAAGCTAATTTTATGAAATCTGCACTAAACCTGGCCTTATATAAAAATTTTCTCATTTCAGATTGTAGACTGGACTAGATTGACAGTGCACAACACCACCATGCGCGATGCCGGGGACTACGAATGCGTTGTCAAGTCGGCGGTAAACGAAATTAGCAGCAAGACCAGTGTTTCCATTGAGGGAGCTCCTGGCGCTCCGGGCGGTGTTCAAGTCATACAGATCAGTAAAACGAAGGCCATAATTGAGTGGGTGGATGGATCCAACAACGGTCGCGTGATCCGATACTACAACATCCTAGGGCGCACAAACTGGAATCGCACCTGGGTTAATGTATCGACCCATGTGCAGGCGCGAGAGGTAGATCGATACACCTCCCGCCAGCAAGCCGAGGTTGTCAATCTGACGCCGTGGTCGGCTTACGAATTTAGTGTAACTGCCGTAAACGATCTGGGAATCGGAACGCCCTCGGCCCCATCGCCAATTTACAGCACCTATGAGGACAAGCCATACATTGCCCCGAGGAACGTTGGTGGTGGTGGTGGAAAGATCGGCGACCTAACTATTACCTGGGATCCGCTGCTGCCGCAAGAGCAGCATAGCCACGGTATACACTACAAAGTGTTTTGGAAACTTAAGGGAGCCATTGAATGGGCATCTGACGAAATTAAAAAGCAGGATCACATGGGCGTGGCAGTTGTTAATATTCCTCTCAATAACTACTACACGGAGTATGAAGTCAAAGTGCAAGCCATCAACAGTGTTGGCAAGGGACCGGAGAGTGAAATAGCTGTCATACACTCCGCTGAGGACATGCCACAGGTGGCTCCTCAAAAGCCAATCGCGCTTGCCTACAACTCCACATGCTTTAATGTTACTTGGCAACCTATAGACATGTCACGTGAAAACATTCGTGGCAAACTCATTGGCCACAGGGTAAGCTTACCGCACACAATTTCTTGAAATTTGTATACATTTTTTTGTTCATCAGTTGAAATACTGGAAAACTACGCACCAGGAAGAAGACTCTGTATACTACCTGTCACGTACTACAAGAAATTGGGCGCTTATCGTAGGTCTACAACCAGATACCTATTACTTTGTAAAAGTCATGGCCTACAATGCAGCAGGTGAAGGCCCTGAAAGCGAACGCTTCGAAGGTGGGTTACGAACAGTTTAAATAACAATTTTAAGAACATTTTTCTTAAACAATGCTTTTCAGAACGAACATATAGAAAGGCACCTCAAAAGCCGCCATCTTCGGTTCACGTGTACGGAATAAACCCGTCTACGGTGCGGGTTGTTTGGCGATATGTTTCCCCCTCGCAGGACGAGGAACCAGTCGAGGGTTATAAGGTACGCCGCCCGGCTCAGTGACAAAGAATATCTATTACAATTTAAAACTTTTTAGGTTCGCATTTGGGAAACGGACCAGAACATGATCACGGCAAACAATACCATAGTGCCAATCGGACAGAAACTGGAATCGTACATTAACAATCTTACGCCAGGAAAGAGCTACAACATGCGAGTCCTCGCATACAGCAATGGAGGAGACGGTCGCATGTCCAGTCCAACCTTACGCTTCCAGATGGGCAAGACAACGCGCAATGGTGCAAATACCCGACATGGCCATAACATCAATACTGCCCTTATCCTAAGCACATTGCTACTTATTAGCACTTTTCTTTATACCACAAGCCAATGAATGCAGCACAAATTAAGATCCCGTACATTTAGGCAGTAAGAACATACATATACTAAGAAGTGACCTTATATAAGAGTAAGTGCAGCTATAAAAAATTAATACATTCCATCCGTGCTCTTTTGTAAGCCCCTTAATTGATGTAAATGCAATTCCGTCCATTTTATAGACTTTATCAATAAAATAATTTGCTAAAATTTTAATACCAATATATGATTCAGTATATTGCTGAAATCAAAATGGAAATTGTCCAAAATGTGTTTACTTTGAATAATTGGTAAGGAAAGTGAGCCGGTTGGGGTTTTTTTCATATTTTTGATACTTTTGACCATATTTTATAACCCTGTAAAATACCTGATATTGTTGCTGCATTTTGTTTCCAAGTTGTTCATTTAAATATAAACAAGAGTGAGAATGCTATAGTCGAGTTCCCCGACTATCAGATACCCGTTGCGGGGCAAAAAGGTTTTTGCAAAACGATAGAAATTTTAAAGACCATAGAACTGAACAAATTTTGACCCGTTATGGGCGCGGAAACATAGGTCAACAAATTTGCCCTGCGTCCATGTCTCTGGAATCTGCGTGCATAATCTCAACAAGCTTGTTTTTACAGTTCCTGAGATCTCGACGTTCCTACGGATGGACAGAAGGACAGGGCCAGATCGACTCCGCTATTGATCCTGATCAAGAATATAAATACTTTATATGGTCGGAAACGCTTCCTTCTACGAATTAGAACATATTATGATCAAACAACGAATTTTTTTTTCATTGCTTTCCGAGTATTTCTTTCGCAGATATTTGATGTACAGAGCAGAGGGATGTAAAAGAGACTCGACTGCTTTTACTGATTAAGAATATTTATAGTTATATTTGTGCATATATATGGCTGCAAATGTGTCATTCACTGCGTTGCACACATCAGATTGAAATTAATATACCCTTTGAAAAGGATAAGAAGGAATACTATATTCGAATTTCACTTTTATCACATACCCGCTATTCTTTCTACAATTGCAAACGGACGCCATCTAGTGGTGGGGTTACATTTATTGCAACGACGCGTTTAAAAAGCAGCTTGCGTGGCGTAGGCGGTACTGAAATCTGCACTTGTAATCCCCAACTTCCTCATGCAGAAATGCTGCTTCAATTACTTATACTCTTTTTACTTTACGGGTAGATTATAGAAATGTTGCTGTTGTAGAGAGCTGCCTGTCGGAATATGTTATTGAAAGCAGTAAGAGAAAAATAAAAATTCCTCGTGAAAAATAGAAACATTCGTTTTTTATTACAATGGGTTCAAAATCAATATGCATTAATCCGCAATAAGTCCAGCCATACCACACGCTAAAATACCACACAATACTAATCAATTGCGGGAATCCCCCTAATATTACATGACGAATCTAATATGGTGCTGCGGTATCGCTTCGGTCACACTGCGATACTGCTCGCTGCGGGTATTAGCAAAAACACAGAGTAGATAGAAACAAACATGGTTTTATAGCGCAAACCTCATACAATCGCACTGGACATCTGGGAACTTGATCCATCGACCTGCCAGAGGAAAAGGCCCTCCCGTAAGGTTGTCCTAGGTAGCTAGGGAAACACCATGGCATATGGCTGGAACGGATGCGGAATGGGCGTGCAGATGAACGGGATCAACGGCTCCATAGGCTTATCCTCAAAGTACTCCCGCAGCACAGAGCTGCGGCGCGTCGAGGACAACGATATGTACCGGCTTGCCAAAATCCTAGATGAGAACTCCTGCTGGCGTAAGCTGATGTCCATTATACCCAAGGGCATGGATGTGCAAGCCTGCAGCGGAGCCGGAAGCTTAAATTTTCCTGCGGAAATCAAAAAAGGATTTAAATACACTGCGCAGGACATGTTCCAGATTGACGAGGCTGCAAACCGACTGCCGCCGGACCAGAGCAAGTCGCAAATGATGATCGACGAGTGGAAGACCTCCGGCAAGCTCAACGAGCGGCCTACAGTGGGTGTGTTGCTCCAACTTCTGGTGCAGGCAGAGCTCTTCAGTGCGGCAGACTTTGTGGCCCTTGACTTCCTGAATGGTATGTCAGAATATGTTTTCCCTAAGCTAACAGAACTAGACAAAAACTGTATCCGCTAACTACTCTAGAGTCCACCCCTGCTCGGCCGGTTGACGGTCCTGGTGCGCCCATTAGCCTGGAGCTGCTGGAAGAGGAAATGGAAGTGGACAACGAGGGAGTGAGCCTCAAATACCAGTCAAGCACTGCCGCTCTTGGGGGAGGCGCTCAAGGTAGCGTTGGACTGAACCTGGACACCTATGAAAAAGACATGGTAAGGAGGGACAAGAGTGTGCCCCAGCCGTCTGGGGACGTCCCTCCCATAGCTCCACCTCGACGACAGCCAAGGGGTACTACAAGCACCAGTTTGATTGGGCCAGTAACCGTGCCGGCGTCCATCCCGAATGTGCCCAACCTGACAATTCTCAATCCCAGCGAACCAATTCAGGAGCAAGTCCTGCAGTCACGACCGCTGAATATCCCAGATCTGTCTATACTCATTGCAAGCTCTGGTGATTCAGGGGAAACATCATCGGACAACACAAGCAACAAAGCCAGCTCAAGGGATACGACAAACATTCCGCGAATCACTCTTTTAATTGATAATTCTCGACCAAATCACGCCGCAGCGAAAGCTCCAACGACGACCCCAAACAACTTGCCAATGATAAGCGCCTTGAATATAAGTAATGACAGCGGGGAGACTTTACGTCCTGAGAGCAGAAGCAGTTCCAGCAGCTTGAGCAAAGATGACGACGATGATATCGATGGTGAGGAGGATGGAGATGCCTTCCTGAGAAACCTGTGTAACTCAGAGCAGCAGAACTCAAACAATGACTCTAGCTTGACAACGGTTACTGGCACCAGCGGTGATAACAGCTTTGAGCTGACCAACGACTCCAGCTCCACCTCAAACGACGATTACGCTTGCAACATTCCAGACTTGAGTGAGCTGCAGCAATAGGTAGAAGCACCGGCCGTCGGCGGAAATGACATTCCGTTCACCAATTAAGCTTACGATAATTTATACAACCCAGATGTATTCATTTATTTGTCCATATTGGCAGCTGGGTGTGCCCCTCCTTATATTATGCATAAGGTCCAACTAGAATCTAAGATTCAGTGCGTGCTTCATTCGTTGTCCATATCACGGCTACCGACCCAGTTCACGAGCAGTACGGCAATATTAAATATTTCCGTTTCAAGAAAGTCATAACCCAATACCAAAATTTAACAACTTTTGTATGATTACAAAATACTCCTTTATTTTCTAGTATAAATTTACTGAAACGCAAAATGAGGTTCTGTGACAGTTTTCTTTGTTTTGGACCAAGCTGGGATTTCATGACATTGGCCGTTATCAATTGATTGTTGCCTAAAATATTTAACACCTACGATATAATGGCTAAATTGAAATAAAATATTTTTGAAAACAATATCAATTTTTTCCAACCTGAAATTCTGTCTCTTCAAAGCTCCACATACATACGGACGGAATTCTCCAAATGGACTTGACTATTTTGTCCAAAATGATGCCTTTTACGACTTTCTTAAGTTTTTAGTTTAGTATATCCGACGTTCATACGGACAGACAGACGGACATGGCCAAATTGACTCGGTTAGCGATCCTGACGATGGGTGACGATAATATCATATTATAGTCAAAGTCTTTTCAGGGCTGTAGGTTCAGATGTTAGAGACGACAGTTATTTTTCCTTGTTTAACTTTTTCCTTTAAAAGATTTCGTTGTTAGATTTTCCGACACAGACATTTGTAAAAATAATGTTTTTTTGAGACCAAGGAATTTATTTTTTCTGTTTGTAGAAAACATTTTAAAGTCGTACTCTAAGAGGGGAATTCTAAATTTGCTGAAAAGTTTTTGGGAGCAGGTAGATTTTCCGATCCTATCAAGTAAAAACCTTGATTAGGATTACCCTAATCGATGTCCGTCTGTTTGTCCGTCTGTCCCTTTGTAAAAATGTTGAGACCTCGGGAACGGAACTATAATTGCTAGAAGGTTGAGATTAAGCAGATCCAAGAGACTCAGATACATCGTTTCAGAACGTTGCCACCACACTCTTACGCCCACATCCACCCAAAGCCGAAACGAAAATGTTTTGATTTTGTTTGATGTTATCACTATATTATTATACCCCTTACTCCTAAAGTAAAAGGGTATACTAAATTTGTTGAAAGGTAGAAGGAAGCGTTTCTGACCATAAAAAGGATATATATATTCTTGATCAGGATCAGAGAATTTTTCAAAAGATTGGATGTGACAGTTTTAAGCGGTTGGGCGTTAAGGTGGACGTGTGAAAAAGTTCTTTGTAAATCGATAGAAACTTACAACATGGGACCAAACTGCGACCTCGGATACTATAAAAGCTAAGGAATTGAGATTATAAAAGGTGGAAGGAAGCGCTTTAGACCATATAAAGTATAAATATTCCTAAGCAGGATCACTAGCCCAGTGTTGTGGCCATGTCCTTCTGTCCGTCTGTCCATCCATCAGAAACTATAAAAGCTAGAAGTTGGGATTAAGCATGCAGATTCCAGACATTCCATGCCGCCATGCCCACTCTAAAGCCCACTAACCGCCCAAAACTACCACACCCACACTTTTGAAAAATGTTTTGATGTTTTTAAACTTTTTTATATTTATTTATTTAAAGCTAACTTAAAGTATATAACTATAACTAAGAACTGTAACTAAGAACTAGCAGCATTAGCTGCTAAGGCCTTCCGCTCGTCTAGGGTGACAAATTATACAGAGTGAGAGAAAAATATAGTTTTATATTTTATGAATTAGGTTGCAGTTAACAAAAAGGTTATAATTTTGTTTATGTTATCGTTCGTTGGGTTAGAAAGTGCCTTATTGATTGTTGAAAGGTTGATTGTTTGAAAGGCAGCTGTTCTTTGAAGGGGAAGGATGTGTTAACTAGGATGTATTTAAGGTCTAACTGGTAATGGTTGCAAAGAGGACATTTGTTGGGGAGGGATCTGTTCATGTAGTGGGCATTGGTAAGGTTGGTGTGTCCCAGCCTAAGCCTGTTCTGAGGTAAGTGTATTCTAGTGTCTTTGCTTGTACCAGGGAGTAATATTGTTATGCAGTTCTGTTCGTTTGGAGCTGACGTATTTTTTTATGTGCCGAGAAATTTCGCCACAGTTGTAATTTGGTGTGTAGACGAGGGGGTACCTGTGGGCAGATGCCCACAGTAACAGCTAAAGATTAGCTGTTTTGTCGGCGTATTCGTTTGCTAATATGCCAATGTGGCTGGGGGTCCATATAAGTTTAATTTTTGGGAAGTGGTATCCTTGTCTCTGGTTTCTTATGGTTGATGGATAGTATGAGTTGCTGTTGGTATTGGTGGGGGGTTTTAGGGCAGACAGGGAATCGCAGCAAATAGCAAGTTTGCCTGGGGTTTTCAGTATTATCCGAACTGGTCCTTTTATGGCTATTATTTTGCTTGAAAGGACTGTGGAGAACGGGGGGAGGAGGCCACATTTTTATATAACTTCTAAATTTCTATAGACTTGCCAAAAAAACCTTTTTGCCACGCCCACTCTAACGCCCACAAACCGCAAAAAACTCACGACCACATTTTAAAAACATTTTTAAGTTTTTTTCATTTTTTTTTCCCCAATTTTTACCGATATTCCAGAAAAAATGGAAATTTTTCGTTTGCACTTCCACAAGCTGAGGTAGCTGATAGACGGGAAACTCGATTATAGCATTATATCTTGTTTTAATTAATATTGCTATATGTATGGGCAATACCTTCCGCCTTTTTAACAGCCTATACCTTTATACTCGGAGGGCATGTCCATTACCTTTTCCATATATTTGTAAATTTTTCATTTAAATTGTTTTATTTTTTGCAAGCAGAATAGTCGATCTTAAAACTGCCGAAACTTAAATCATACGTCGCTTTTCAATTAAAATTCAATTTGTCTTGGCGGGCTCGGTCCGTTATCGGTCCAGTGCTATCGAGTACCATTAATAATATCGATATTTTAAGAACAATAATCGGGGAAATCTTTGGGCACCTCTTGTGTTCGACAAAACAACTGAGCTAAACAAAATCCAAAATTATTCGCAACATGGACGAGTCGGAACTGCTATTTAATCTGTTTTACTTACTGTTGTGCATGGTCATTATCTACCCGCCAGAGGAGTTCCAACGCCTGGGTTTCACCATCGAACAGTTGTTCGCTCGGTTCCTGGGAGAGGAGTACCTGGATTTTGTGGGCTACCACCTGCGCCGAACTTCGCTGAATCTCTTCGTGCACTCCTGTCTGCCCTTCTCCTACTTCCTTATCCATAGGCTCAAGTTCTCCGTCTTCGCCACGCAGGAACCGCTGGAGGACTCCGACCTGGACCCAGATTTTCCCATGCCCCAGGAAGCGGTTGCGTTTAAAACGCTTACGTGGAAAACCGCCCAGCGATTCAGTGTATTGGCCGTTCTGGCGATGCCCGCTCTGATCTTCAACTGGCACCAGCAAAACTGGCGTCGGCACCCGATCAGCAAGGCCCTCGCCAAGTACTCTATCTCGCCGGGCAGCAACACTGCCGTCGCCAGCGAAATTGGTACAGAGTTCCGTCAACCGGATATATACAAGAAAAAGCTGAACTCCATCAGTTCGGTGATTGCCACGGAGAACTGGATAATAAAAACCACCATGTACAATGTCCACTTTGCCCATCAGAGCAACACGTCGCTCAGCGTAGCTAAGGTCAGTTGGGCACGATTCCTTTGCATGTGAGACCCTAATGTTTTTTCTGCAGGCAGAGACGTACAATATATCGCAACAAGACCAAAACGACACATTGCAGATGATAAGCATTATTGTGCGTCCAATGAGACAGGGTGTAAGCGACTTTCACATACGAATTAATGCCCTGGAATTTAGGAATCTAGAGAACCGTGTCCGGCGGCCCATCGCGATTCCCTCTAACATTCAGTTCCACCGCAATGTTATTGACCGCTTTGTGGATGTCTTTAAGGCGCAAGTCGCCCTAAATCCCGTTTTTTCAGAGGTTGCAACTACGGATAAGTGTTTTGCCTGCATGCTAAACGAACCAAACACCAAGATTCACAAGCAGTGTGCCGACTTTGACCGGAATGGCGCTCCCCTGGCGGATGGGGCGTGCTGCTCTAACTGCTACTGCCGCCCCATGTGGTGCGTGGAGTGCCTAGCGCGGTGGTTCGCCGCTCGCCAAAGCGATCTGGATCGCGAGGTGTGGCTGGAGCAGAAATGCACTTGCCCTATGTGCCGAGCCAAGTTTTGTGTGCTTGATGTCAGCTACATCACACCCACAGTCGATGCAACTAACATTATTCAGTATCAAGGCGATGAAGACGAGGCTGATGATACCACGTGATTTATTACTGTTAGACACAATTAAAGGACTTTTAAATCGAACCTCGTTCTTTATTGGTCTTATTTAAATGTAATCGTTTTCAGTAAGACGTACACTTACTTATATAGCTATAAACTTACAAATATTCATAATAATTAGTGCAATTATCACGTTTTAATACTTTAACAATCTAAGCAGGCTAGAATGTGAAATATATTAATTTTACTTAAGTACTATTTATCTAAGCATAGAGAGAAAGCGCTCACATGAGAAATATGCCTTAATATGCTCTGCATAGCAAACCTGTAGTGCAATAAGTCCACTATCTTACCGCGATTTATTCTCTTTGTGCTCTCAATCTGATAAAAAATAGGCGTGCTAATTTATATACATGTGCATGATAAGTAAAGGAAATACATTGTAAAGATCTATAAATTCGTTTCGTAAACACTTTTATAACTCTCGGCTTGGTCACGTTGGCTTCTTGCCTGGTTAACTGGAGGCGCCATCGATCCTGTCGGAGGAACGACGCACTTGATCAATGCGCTTTTCGACGTGCAATTTGAGACCTTAAAAAACAAATAGTCATTAGTATGCCTCTCACAAGAAGATATTCGTTTTTCTTTCTTTATATCTTAATATAATATATCATTTTAAACTTTAATATTATAATTTTGGTTGAAAATAGCTTATCTATTTTAAAATATGACAAATTAAGGTCTTTGATTTCTTAACGAATAGGTATTCTCAATAACACCTTTTCCAAACTTTCCATTGAAGGTAAATATTTGTATACCTTCTAAATAAACAAGACAACAACACCAAACATTTTTGAATATTGTGGGCGTGACAGCTTTTTACGGTTGTCGGCGTGACCAAAATCTTCTCAGCATATAGATCAAAATTGGCAAGACAAAAAACTAAATGAACAAAATATTTATCAAAAGTACCCTTGTGGGCGCGAAAACAAACTTGAACAGTCTAGACGTCATTAGAATCTGCATGCTTAAGCACAAATTTCAGGCATTTGTAGTTCCCGAGATCTCGACGTTTGTACGGATAGACGGACATGGCGATATCGGGTCGGCCTTATTCGGTCGGAAACTCTTCCTTCTAGCTGTAACATACTTTTATTTGTATATCATTGTAATTTGGTATATCATATTGCTCTACGAGCATCTGGTATACAAATCGAATTGATTTTTTTATTTCACTTGACAATTGAAAAATGGAAATTAATGTTCAAACAAGTGGACAAATGGGGATTCGACTAGTATTGCTGATGAAAAATAGAAATCTATACTTTTATACTATCCCTAATATCAAGCGAATCCAAGAGTTATGTCCACGTCACCTTTCTTGTGCTCCAAGTACTCCCCACACTTAGCAAAGAACGTTTTCAAAAATAGCACATTTGAGTTTCAGACAATATACTCGGTTAAAAAAGAAGCTGACAGAACATATCTATCTATACTTCTGAAGATTCACAAATTCTTATGATTTCACAGTGTCATTATGTAATTAAATGTAATATATATGGGAAAATAGCGCACCGTACTACTGATATGGACGAGCAGGAATTATTGGTCGACAGACTCGGATTTGACAATTGCTCCAGAACCGTCTATTTAAATCTATTTAATGAGTCTATTTTAGATTGTGTATTAAGTTTATTTAATTGTGAAACATATTTCACATAAAGTAATATATGTAAGAGGGTGCGACGCTTGCTTTTTATGTTTTTTTGTTAGCTCACAGAAGCTGGGTTCGTTAAAATCGAATTTTTAAAAATTTGAAAGCTGTAATCGATTGCCTACCAATTAGTTGTTTTTGCCCACGTCCAGTTTTGAAGATAAGAAATTTCGAAAATTAGATTTGATCGATTGCCCACCCTTTACAAATTGTTTTTATCGTTTGCCCACCTCTTAAAACTATTAATATTTTCAATAACAAATGTTTGTACTTTATGTATTTTTTGTATTTTCTGTAAGTTCTGGCGCAAATTCAAATGTTTTAGGGGATGCCAACAGGAACATAAACACACATACATACAATTTACATGTCCAAGTTTAGGAAAATTCTGGAATAATATTTTTTGCATGAAATTTATCAATGATCAACTAAAGTTGATACATCGTTCGCAAATGATTAATGTTATATAATTATTGATAAATCAATGTAACAGATCGCTGTACATGTAGTACTTACATATGTACATGTATTCCTGTTTGCAAACATGTTCCTAAAACATGTGAATTTGCCTCAGAACTTACAGGAAATACATGCATATGTACAAACGTTTGTTATTGAAAATATTTTGTTTTTGAATTTTGGGCAAATGATAAAAACTATTTTTAAAGGGTTTGCGTGGACAAGCGATTTTGTTTGAAAATATTTAGTTTTGAGATGTGGGCAAATTCTTAATTCTTTAAGGGCCTTATTTTCAAAACTACATTTTTTTTTTAATTTTAAAAGGTGGGGGAAATGTTTGAAATTTCATAATCAAAACTGGACGTGGGCAAAAAAAACTAAAATAATAAATTAAGCTGTTTTATCTCATACAAAATGCATTGTTCAAAGGAGTTAGCTGTTCTGAATTACGGAAAGTGGCTGTTTTTTTTGCTTAATAACTTTTAAATGTGTCTGACGTAAGTGTGGTTGTATATATAAAAGTGCTACATAGCGATTAATTTTTTAAAAATCGGTATTCCCGTTTTCAGAAAATCAATTTATCTGTTTGGACAAACTACGTTTGAAAAGCACAAATAGCATTTGGATATGCCTTTTCAACGTATATATCGTTGAGCACAAGTCTAGCCTCTGAGGTTCCACAGTAATGGATGTAGAAAATTTGGCTACCTACATACATACATACATACATATATACAAGTTTCCTATATCGAGATTCCAAATGTTTTCAGTACACAATAACACATACCGTCTGACTGACTTAAGTTTTTTAGTTTTTAATTTTCAGATATTTTATTTACAAATTACCCATCAGCTCAAATTTTTTGCTTGCACAATTTCACCACTTTTTCTTCTGATCGATTACATTTTGTTAACATTTAGTATGTAATAATTCTTCGTTTGGTACTTGCACAATCGCAGATGACTTGAATTTTTTCCTTTACCTATGTAAATGTACCTTATGTACCTATGTACCGTTTACTATTAAATATTGCAGTACCGACTAAAACGCTTGGCGGTTTGTGTCTGCTTATGTTTACTTTTATTAGTTGCAAGTCGCCATTTAATTTTTTTTTTTAGGTATAAATCTTGAGTTTTGCAAATTATTTTAAGTCGACAAATAATAAATTCCCTTTACAATCTAATCTTATCTTCACTACTTTGTCTTACATATAAATCTTCGCAAATTTTGCACCCAAGGGCAAAGAACAAAAGCACTAGATTAATGGTTGAAATATCGTGTTCCCTCTCCTAAAAGTTCGGGAACATTATTCATATGTACATATTTAGCTATATATGTACGTATGTACAACATCAATCTTATTTAAACTCGACGTCTTCAAACCTGGACTTTCAAAATAGTTTATGTATCTAAGGTTTTCAAGGCTTACGCCACACTGGTCCCGAGATTCTTCCGTGCCACAAAAAAGAACGCTTTTGTTTCTTATACGAGCATTTCCGATGCGCCACTTAGTATTCTAACTCATCACAGTATTCCTAACTTTGTTGCGACCAATACTAGCGAACTAGAATCGGTGCAGATTGGCACTCACACCCGCAAATCATGAACGCAGTTCGCAAAACGGGCTGCTTACTTAGTGTTTGTTAGATATGGGTTCCATTAAGTGAAAAGGTTAGATGTATAGGTACGATAACGAAAATGTGGAAAAGCGCAGAGGCACACCTTCTCGATGTCCTGCAGAGAACCTGATCCTGCGTCGAAGAACTTTCCGTCGACCGCATCCCGCTTCTTGTTTTTCGAACGAAAGCGTCCGGATCGGGAGATGGAAATGTTGCGCCACTGGTGGCCATAGGCACACCGCTTCTCTTCCTCACTCAGCACGCTGTCCAGGTAGTGGATCGTCGGCTCGTGGGCGGCTGACTTGGCTGTGCTCATGATGCCCGAGGATACGTTCTTTTTTGGCCGCTGCAAGTGGCGGCTTCGATACTGCAGCTGATAAGAAAGAACACAGGGCAATAGTGTTGGAACTCGCCCTTCTACCGGTACGGATATCTTTTGTTTTGGTTGCGTTCGTGGCGGCCAAAGCTGGTCCGCATCCAATCCCGTCGCGCGTGTTTCTGCCAGCAGACAAGCCAAATGACAGCCACCCGACGCCGATTCCCGCTATGGCACTCCGTCACAAAGAACAACCGATGGAGTAATGAAGTTGAAGAGAGCAGTCACCATAAACTCTTTTCACCGCAGCTCCAGAACATGTGAGTTTACTCCTGAAGGCCTAAACAGGTGAGCCAGGCCACACAACCGCAACCACACGCCAATATATGTACATATGTACGTATCTGAATTGTGAATTGTGCCACCAGTGCTGACCGAATCCACCTATTAATATAGACATTACCGATGAATTGCAATATAAACCATCTATGAATGGACTAGTATGTTCTTAGCTATTAAATGCGATTTCGAGGGTAAAGCAATATTTTTTAAATATACATTTATTTGATTTATTTAGCACGTTAATTTTTAAAGGCCTCTACGTATCACTGTGGACGGCTGTTCTCAAGTGACTACTTTATTATATACACGAGGTAATAAAAATCCGTGCAGTTGACTTTAAAAATACCCTACAAAAAATGTACTTATTCGAAACGCTTGTCTAATGGACAAGTAAATACTTTGAAACTATACTATTTGAAAGCCTGTCAAATGAGTACATTTTATAAATTGTATTGTAAGTCAAAAGAATATTATCTATTATTAGTTATATCCCAAGTATAAAATAATGAGAAGGCAATCCCAATTTGTTTTTGACTTCGTCTATAAGAATTTTTGTTTGATTGCAGACATTTAAACAAGAAACACCCAATAAATATAAAATTTTTAAAAACCTATTTTCTTAAGCCATAAGTTAGTAAAAAAAACTACTGAGTACCATTTAGTAATACATTGATCAAGTCATAGTCAAAAGCTAAACCGGCATCACAGGTCACCGGTATTATATTTTTGTATGTGTATGACAAGAGTAAGCGATATGTATTGGCTTATAGAAAAGTAAGCCTATTCTACACCCTGACCAGGATCGTCAACTGGCTAAAGAGTAAGACACTTGTCATATTTATTTTCGATGGCTATTCGCTTGGTTTTCGAATTGGAGTTTCAGAATGGTTATTTCATTGAGAGTGAATTCACAAATACATTCAATTCGTAAATAGAAAGGCATTCGGCAGTCGTTGTTGCGGAATCTTGATCACTCATCGCACTTTAGCCTATCTACCAAATGCACACACGTATCTAACTTGTGCTCCCGATGATAAGCGCAAATAGACAAAGCAAACAACCACTTGCTAACAATTATAAATGATTAGATCGTTTTTTGGAGCGTTCACTTCGGACAGTTCTTTAACAGTATATTTTGTCTTCGCTTTAGCTACTATACGCATACGCCAAACCGAACACTTCTTCATATATTGATTCGCTCGACGTGTTCTATTTGAATCATGCAAACTGGTCTGATGCAAAAACACACATCTTTATCGGCCGGGCGGTTACTGTGCGGATTTATTATCACGGATCTCCGTGACTCAGCAGCGCATAGGGCTTAAGGGACTAACACATGCAATCAAAACTGCCGCAATTTGATTCGGGTAGGCCCTATTCAAGCAGCAATGAATAAGCACTGTACTACAAAAATATTGAGAACAAAACAACACTAAACTATAGATTTTCTGTACACTATACATAATGGTTATAACTGACCCACAGCCGAGGGTATTATTTATTTACAAAAAGGGTAACGTATAAATTCAAAGGTGTGGAAGCATATACATATATAAATCCATTATCTTCTATATCAATGTTATATCTACGCAAGGACATGGCGGTTCTTTCACAAAATATTTTTCAGGGCTAGTCAGCGTCTAGTTTTAATATACATTTATTTTCCGGCCATTACACATAGTGTACTTTAACAATAAATTTAGCTTTGTTATCTGCAGGCAGCAAAAATTTTGTCCACCTAAACTAGGTGTTCATGCGAGTGTCTTGAAAGTGCAAGAGATAAAACAATTAACTTAAAACAAAATATAACTCGTAGAAAACAGTTGGCCCTACAAATTTGATGTGACACCAATTACTTCTAGACAACGCTACCGCCACTATCGCCGCGTTGACTGATTACAGCGTCCATTCGCTGTGCTGGAGGAACTGGCCTCTGCTCGGGCTGTCTATCCTGTCGCGTCGCCCCTGCCAAGTTATTGGTGCGATGCATGAAGTTGCGAATATTTTCCTCCGTGTAGTCCACAATTCGGCGCTTCTTGCGGCGGCCGTATTGTTTCTGCTTCAAATATATTTTCAGGATTCCTTTGACTGTTATAAAGGTCAGACCTCCAAGCAGAGTGCGATGCAATGTGTTGTCCACGGTGTCAAAGAGAATACGTCCCACGATTGACGAAATGGTGGGCAGCAAGAGAGCCCCACAAAAGACCCGCGTGGCCGAGACGGGGTCAGAGAGAGCAGGTGTGGCCGGATTGCTGATGCTTTGCTGATCCTCTTCCTGGCTACTGTTTAAAGATTAGTAATAAAGGCCTGCTGACCCTGACGTTGTTGATGCACTTACAGGTTCGGATAAATAAGGCTTACAAAAGGAAACTTTCGCACCACTGTCCCGCGGTTTCGAATAACGCGCAGCAATGCATCCTCCCAGCGAATCAATCGACCAAGCACAAGCCCTACTGGAATCGCCGGCAGCCCAATAAGGAGAACGAGCGGATCTCCAGCCTCCATTATGGACATGCCGTGCTCATGTCCGACGATCTAGAGACGGCGAATTCGCTTAGTGTCATGCTAATTAATTAAAATTCATAGGTTGTACCTGTAAGAATGTCACAGCTCCGTAAGTCACGGCTGTCCAGTATAGAGAGCCCACAAAGAAGCCAGCCGCCAGGAAGGGGCTCAGACGCTTGATGAGGTTATCTATCGCCTCTAATGCACCTCCAAGCTTGCCCATCTGCGGGAACACTATGATATACTCCGTTTGGCATTGCGGGCACGATACAGTGCGTAGAGCGTTACCCTTCTGGGTTTTTTCATCGATCCAGCGGTAGAGGCAGCTCTGGTGTACCCACTTGGTGGTGCCGCGGCACTGGCAGGGCTTCACCCACGCCGCCAGGCGGTTGTCCTCATCAGTGGCGAAGCAGATCCAGCAGCAGCGTTCCGCCTCCCCCCCATCGACACCCACTTGCACGGCAGTTGAAGTGGAAACATCCGTGGCTTTGTTCGCTGATGCAGGTGGAACGGTCAGCGTGGTGTGTCCCTCCCCCGCTGGTACTTCAGGCGACGAACAGTCCGCAGGAAGCGCCGCACAGCCCGCAGGAGGCGCCGCGCAGTCCGCAGAGGGCGCTGCAGCTTTGTCGGCCATTTCGCTGAAAATGTAAGACTATGTATTATGTTTGTAGGTGCGACGGGACCTTTAGGTCCGGCTTACTTTTTGCTCACACTTGGCTTTTTGTGCGCTGATTGGCCTTTTCGGTTAACTTACTCAACTTTCCTTTATTTCGGCTGGTTCAACAAAAATAAAACTAACTCAATAAACCAGATCTGATTTATTCTACCAGGGCACTTTCGATGACTTTTTGGAGGGACCAGATCCCAGATTGTATTTTCCAGGTCGTCTTCAATTTACCTCTGCTTTGGTCACACTTTTGTTGTTATCGCATTAAAAAATATTTCTTTGGGATTTAGTCGTACTATTTTTCAGTTGGGGATTCAAAAAGGACAAAACCTTAAATATGTTGTATACTTTTAAAAAACAATAGGCCCATTTACAATAGATTGAAACGGATTTTAATTTTCCTACGTGATCCAACACTGACTTTTAAAATCTTAACATTACTCTGTTAACTTCCAAATAAAAACCTAACTGAAACTTTGGCCAATAAGACAGAATAATATTGGATCGGAATAATTGAAATTGGAACCGATATTTTGTTTTACCAAGTGCGCACCAGTTGAGGAGCGGCAACTGCAAGAAGCCGGTATTTTATTTAAGTTTATACACAGTTTTTTCTTTTGTAATTGAAGGCGGCTATTTCACCTTTACCCTGACATTGTACAAAATACTTTGAAGATATGAAATTTCGAAAACTTATAAAAATCAAAGTTGACTTTTTTTTTGATTTAAGTGTTTGTCCATATCTCAAAACGAAATATATTGATTAAATAACATTTTCCAATTTAAAAATACTTTCTACACCCTTAAAAATAAATATTATCCAGTAGCAAAAGTGTAAGTTTCAGTAATTGGGACGATAGGGAGTAACTTACATTGACACCTCCTGTTTTGAAATCCGATTACCTGTTCTAAAGATATTCCCAAAACATGGTTTTCGTGAAATTGTCATATTTTTTTATAATTTGCATCATCGAGAACATACGCCTTTTTTTAAATTATTTAGCATATAGCGCTTTAAAATTATAACAGAAAAAAAGCCTGATGACTTTGTGACAAAGAACTTCGTTGACTTAGAGCAACCCAAAAGAGTAGCAACAAAGGGTCCTTCTCCGCTACGCGTCATCGATGCAAATAACTCAAGTGGATGCTATTCCACTTCGTTATTCTCGTTTTGCCGCCTCACCGTCGTGTCATGATCCTCCGCATCATCTTCATCAAAGCCTGCCATAAGGCGATTGAATATGTCACCAAACATTCCGCCCAAGCCGGGCGGACCAGAATGTGCTGGCTCCGGTTGCTCGTCGAAATACAGCACCCCAATCTTAGCCACGTACTTTAGAAAAGACGTGTCGCGCTTTAGGGATGGATCGTACAGCTTGCGTAAGGCGCGAAACCCAGCCACACGCTTCGCGTCAATAAGGCGAAAAAGGAAGTACAAGAAGTTGACCAGCGGTTCCTTGTAGGGGAACTCATGCTTAAGCAGCTTGGCGTGGTAGCGTGTGTACTCAGTGAACGTGTCCTCTGCAGTTTTCCGATCCTTGAGGGATAGCTGCTGCAGCACTGCTTGCACCAGGAACAAGTCCACCTCGCCCTGCAAGCCCCTGCTCTGGCTGATCTCAATTAGCACTCGCCCACAAAGGCTGCCATCCTGGCAGAGTAGATAGTGGTGGCGAGCCGACTCAATGTTGCCCTCGGTCCAAAACACGTGTGCAATTAACTTATGGAGCACTGGGTGGCCATACTGGCCATGTAGGGCCGTGCTCCACTTAATGGTCCGTTGCTAAAAGGGACAAATCTCATTATCGCGGCACGTCACGATTAATAGCGTCAGAGACTCACAATAAGAGTTTCGCGCTCCACAGTCGCGGCGTTAAGTCCGCGGATCAAGGCTCCTAGGCGTGGAACCCACAGAAAATTTTCGGTATCTTCCGCCTGTGGTCCTCGCTTCTCTAACGTGTCCAGCAGAAGAAGGCATAGGTCAGCCGCGCTGCTGTCCTGCTCCTTGGCAATAAGCTGCTGTGCTCCATCAAAGAGCAGATCCAGGCAGTCCTGATAACGTTTCTGCGCCGTGTATCTATGGAAAAGATTTTCTTATTGCACTACATTTCCTTGCACACCTTATACAAATAGGGTACCGAAAATACAGCGTCCTATACATCATGTGCGCTTCATAAAATTCTCCTCCTGCCAGAGACTGGGACAACTTGGCAAGTACTCGGCTGACACCGCGCTGCCCGGTGGACAACGCACTGCCGCTGGCTATTGCACCTGTCTCGGCGGCAGACATTTGACTGTTTGCACTGTTGATTCTTACGCTTTAAGCGACCTTTCCGACTATTTGGAAGCCAAATTTTATAATTTATTTTGTATTTACATATACCAGCTCCCGATGACGGACTATCGGTGTCGATTGCAAAATATTACACTCATTGCACAGGCGCCTAGTGTCAAACCAAAAATTAGAGAGTTCACACTTACAGACAAAATAAATACATTCGTAAGAATATCCTTAGAGGTACCCTCGAGTTTTAATAGTTTTCTGCTGGCCATTGCTTACAAAGATATACATATATTCTCCATGCTTTACCACATCTGTAAGTTTTTTCTTTATTTTTTAGCTTATTGTTTTAAGCCAACTTATATTTTGTTGTTATACGGACCATGAATTAAAAAATATATATATTATTTTAGTGTATGGGCAGTAATAAGATAACACATATCCGATTTTCAGATCTTTATTGATTCGTAAATTTAACTAAAACATTAAGCTAAATTGACCAAATGTTTAAGGTTCACACAACAACTTATGTATATAACGCTGGTGCTGTTGCGCCCTCGTGTGAACAGCCCTAGTCGATTACTCCAATGGTAGGCGGGGGTGGAACGGGAAGATACAGCAGCTGAGAATTGCCAGGCATTGTTGAAATTTTTTAAACTTCCTAATCAAATGAATAGTAATCTGAAGAAGAGTAGTTCCGGAGCCAGGATAGACGAGACCGCACCGGAAGCCGGCAATCTCGTCGCCGCCAACGGCTTCGCTCCCAATCGTTGGGTCAAACTGAATGTGGGTGGACAAATCTACGCTACTACCATCGACACTCTGGTGGGCAGGGAACCGGATTCAATGCTTGCTAGGATGTTTCTGCAAGATGGCAGTATGATGCCCAGCGAGCGGGACGAGCAGGGAGCGTTCCTAATTGATCGGAGTCCTCGTTATTTCGAGCCGATCATCAACTACCTTCGCCACGGCCAATTCGTCTGCGATTCGAACATCAGTGTGATGGGCGTTTTGGAGGAGGCGCGGTTCTTCGGAATCTTTTCGCTCGTCACCCATTTAGAGGAACGCCTTGGACAGCAGGAGACGCCGCTAGGGGACAGACCATTGACGCGCAACGACGTCATCAAGGCCATTATTCAGACCTCTGTGATAACAGAGCTACGCTTTCAGGGCGTTAATCTGTCCGGGGCCGATCTACGAAAGCTAGATTTCCGGAACATTAACTTTAAGGTGTGCGAAAGCGAAAGCCTACAATCTTGAAAGGAGAAGTGTATTTTCTACGTTCAATCCAACGAAATTTTATATCTTTTCATCCACGTATCACGACTGCATTTTGTAGAGTATGTAGTTTTAGTCAGTAGTTTGCTACTCAGTTAAGGGAATTTTTTTTGGTCCCTAGAAAAATACATTTCTTTTAAGTTAAATCCAAAAATTATTCTTAGGACTATCCCTTTCCCTCCACAGTATGCCAACATGTCGCACTGCAATTTGTCCCACACCAATCTCAATTACTGCTGTCTTGAACGGGCGGATCTCCAGTACGCCAACTTGGAATGCGCCCAACTAGTATCAGTGCGGGGACTTTGCGCGAATATGGTAAACCCAGCAAAAGGCTATTAAACTAAGACTTTATTTGTGTTGTTACCACTAGAACAGCCATTGGTCTTTATATTCATTTTTAATGTTCTTGAAACGCTCATACGCCATCCAATTAGGCTAAGAACAAGGTGAGCCTCAACTAATCTGTCTTATCTTTCAGGAAGGTGCCAATCTGCGTGGGTGTAATTTCGAAGACCCAACAGGAGTTCGAACTAATCTAGAGGGTGTTAACCTCAAAGGAGCATGCCTGGAAAGCAGCAACATGGCCGGAGTTAACTTACGTGTGGCAAATTTAAAGAACGCAAATATGAAGAACTGTAATTTGCGAGCTGCGGTTTTAGCGGGTGCGGATTTGGAAAAATGCAATCTTTCAGGAAGCGACTTGCAGGAGGCAAATTTACGTGGGGCCAATTTAAAGGACGCAGAGCTTACCCTAATGGTGACCCCATTGCACATGTCACAGGCCATACGATGATTTCTGAGTTGGTTACGTATCACGTTTGGCTCTAAATAAATATAAAAAATGCGTTAATATTATTGACTGTACATACATAAAAACATAAACGTAGTTTTTAAAATAAACAGTATTAGGATTGTATTTCTAAAGTCGCATGTATTTTCTCTTTTTATTTTTAAAGTCTTAGTGTTTCTACAACCTAGCCTTAAAGATTTATTCATACTATTATATTAAACAATCCTTATGGACCTTGCATTTCTTGTTAGCGATTCTTCATAGCGATATTGCATTTCTGAAGAGTTAACAGTGAAACACTTAAGCCGGTCAGTTGCCTGTGCTAATAATAGTTTACCCTTCGATTCCTTTATCAACAAGAGTTCTAAATATAAATAAATAAAAAACAAGAGAGAACGCTATAGTCGAGTTCCCCGTTACTCAGCGAGGTGGAGTGCGCAAGAGAAAGTTTAAAATTCTGTTTGGCATATTCAAAGAAAATGGCACGAAAAATAATATAATGAAAAAAGTGCAACACTTTTAAAAAGTGTGGGCGTTTCAGCTTTGAGTGGCTTGTGGGTGTAACAAAAAGTTTTTTGGCAGATCAATAGAGATTTACAAGACCAATAAAAAATTATCAAAACATGTCTCAAAAGTGTGGGCGTGGCATTTTTGGGCGGTTTGTCTATGTCTCTGGAATCTAAATATCTAGTCTCAACTTTCTAGCTTTTATAGTTCCTCAGATCTCAACGTTCATACGGACTTGGCTATAAATAAAATGATCTTGATCTTGCTCAAGAATATATATTCTATATATGGTCGGAAACGCTTCTTTTTTGGTGTTACATAATTTTTAATGATTTATTTACTAGTAACGGACATAAATACTCCAAGAAATTGAAAATATAACACAGTTTGTCATTTAAAGAAGCAATAGTTTTAATTAGTTTTTTAATACCATGCGTTTGGTTTATTACTCGCAGTGATCCGACAATCAATATTTTACGGGACATATCTGGGTACTATCTGGGTAGTACTCGTATTTTTATTAAAATTATATCAAATCCTTATATTTCTATTATTGTTTTTTTTATTTCAAAGACGTTCTTTCTATTGGTTTGACCCTTTTCGGACGGGTCTTAGCGGAAAAATGATGTAGGGACTCGTATGTAGGTCCCAGGTAATTTGTCAGCGGCGAGTAGAAACTCAAATTTTTATATTATTTCTAGCTAGAACAGCGGAAAAGACGCTACCTTGGCCAAAAAGCGAACTCTCGCAAGCAGCCCTCAACGAAATATCGATGTATCGCCTATGCGATGTTTTTTTTACGTCACCAGAGAAACGTCAATTTTCAAACGTGGTTTGTTGGAAGCCAGCGGAGAACGGTAGACGTTGCTTGTGAACTGTGAACTGTGTAGTCGTAGCCTGAGCCGGGTAAAAATTGTGAACAGATTTAAGACACAACTGGCGAGCGATTCGATGGAGGACCAAAGCAACGCAGCTTCCGCTGTCGCCGCGGAGAACAGCGCAAACACCGCGCAGGAGGTGTCTTCGACAAGTAAGTGGCCTGCTCCGCTACCCCGTCCGCCCAGGGGTCTGAAAACTGCATGTAATTCTCGCGAGTGCTGGTGATTCCGTAAATATTGTGCCGCGCCTTGCCAGCCTTAGTGCTGGGCATCCAAGGTAAATCCTCATGTTCCAGAGGGGCAGGTGCCCGATTCGGCCATTTTCTAAGTGCGAAGGTAGAAGCAGAAGATTGTCAAATTCCGCCATATTTATTTCTAGGAGACTAGCTGTAAATAAGAGTTGCCGAAACGTCGAAGCTGCTTGTTGTTGATGCTAATTACGTCATCTTTGCGTGCATTCTGCCCACAATTACTAAAAGTGAAATGAATCATTTTCGGTGCTCTTGGCCGATTTCGTATTCGACATTCTGTGCTCACAGTGTCAATTCGCCCGCCCGTTTTCGCCCCCCGCTGCCCGCAACCACTACACGCGCACGGCATTGCTCGTACGCATACATATTAATTGAGAAATTCGCGACTCGATGCGCTCATCGCCGAGAAATGTGTGCATGCGAGTGTGTGCGTGTCGAAGCGTTGCCAACTTATTGGTCTGCGTTAATATCGGTATTTGGGTTCTCAATTCGTATTTCTCGTTGAACCCGCCAAGGAAGACGGCCGAAATAGTTTTGCTGGCCATTACATACTCCAATTTCTTTTCGACAAGCGCACACACATGCACGTTGAGGTATGTTCTACAACTAGCACAGGTGGCAACCCTGACGATTTTGTATGCAGATTTTTGTTTTCAATGAAACGGACCGGCGTTTGCTGGTGTTTGTTTGGGCCAATTTCCCATCTGATTGCTGGGCGTGAAAACCGGTATATCAGCCGCGGTATCACCTTTAGTCCAGCGCCAACTGGCGTGATAACACGCTTTCGTTACAGTCGATAAGGCCAGCGGCTGGGTGCGAATCAGCACATTTGATTTGCACTTCCACAGTTAGCATCCCCTAACAAGAACCAACATGTGCGAGGAGTCAGGGAATCGGTTGCATATCGAACTTACTTGATTTATTGAAAGTTATCTAAACTTCTCTCTTAATCACTCTCACGCTTAATCTTGTCATCGTGTTGTGAGGTCATCGCTGCGTTAACCTAAAATACGTTTATTTTAGTCATCTACGAATGGTTTTTGAGCATTATTTGTTTTAACAACCATACATTGTTACAGCTCAACCCATAGAGCCCACAAAGCGCTCGTTGCGCGTGCAAACCTGGAAGAAGATCCAAGAGGGCAAGGTTGGCATTGGATTCAACAACTTATTTAACCGAATTCCTTTGTTTGTGGGTGCCGATAAGGCTGCTGCCTTGCTTGTCAACGAAGATGAGTTCAAGAAAGCACGTAAGAGAGGATCACAGCCGCGTTTCCAGTGCACCATTTATCCCTCTCCTCCGTATTGCAGAGCACATCAAGGTACACATCGATCGCGCCTTGAATGAGTTCAAGGAACTGGCGTTGCTGGCCAACAAGTCTGTTTACTTGCCCAGCACTCGTGAATCTTCTGCACTGTGCCTAAAGGTAGATGTGCCGGCCGACGCCTCCGAGGAGCAGAAAAAGGAGGCCCTGCGCGTTCAAGACATCCAGAAGTTCCGCTCGGAAATTGGACTGGACAGCGATCTGAAGTTGGACATGGTGGTGATTGGCTCTGTCGTCGTATCACGCGAGGGCTACCGCATTGGTCGCGGAAATGGGTTCGCTGATCTGGACATCGGCCTTCTTATTGAATTGGGAGCCATTACACCGAAGACAGTTATTGTCACAATTGTTCACGACATGCAGGTGGTCGACTCACTGCCCGCGAATCTATTCCAGAAGTACGACACGCCAGTTGACATTATTGCAACGCCCTCAGAAATAATCCGCGTGTCCAAGCGCGTATCTTTTCCTAATGGGGTGTACTGGGAGCTTCTGTCCGAGCGCCGTCTTAAAATATTGCCCGTGCTTCAGCAGCTTAAGGAAAGGGAGGAGAAGGCGGGAAAATCGATATGCCTCAAGGAAGAAGACACCGATGTGGAGCAGTATCAAAACAACAGACGCCGCCGTGGACCTATGCGTCGCCGCCTTCAACGAGGGAACCCAGGGCGCACCACTACACAGACTGACAACGAACAACCACAGGGCGTAAGTCGAATCCGCCATACATCAATTACTATTGAGTAACTTTAAAACCAATATTTTTAGGAGACCACTCAGAAACGCACTCCACGCCGTAAAGGTCGTTTCGTCAATCGCCGCAGACGCACAACTAAGGTTAGTAGTTTAAGTATTAAAGTTAGCCAAAGCATAATCATTTTAATTTTAGTCTGAGGGCGACCAGTCTGGTGTTGAAGGAGGTGCCAAGAGTGAGGATCGTAAGGTAGAAGAGGCTGGCACTGAAGAGCGTCGTCCAAAGAAGAACAAGAATCGTGGACCTCAAGATTTTTGCATTAAGTTGACAAATTTGTCTCGTGATATTCGCGTCAAGGACTTAAAGTCGGAGCTCCGCAAACGTGAATGCAATCCAATGTCAATTACTTGGAAGGGTATGACACTTATATTTGGCTTAAAGGATCTAAGCTAATTATTCCTTTTCGTTAGGACACTACGGAAAGTGTTTCCTGCACTTTGGAAACCGCAAAGGGGTTCCCAGTACCCAGGATGACGTGGAAAAGGTGTTAAAGTCCCTTAACGATCTCTCGCTTACCATTACCACTGGTGGCGAGACAGCTCCAGCTGGCGAAGCAGGAGATGCCTCTGAGAATGCGGAGCCAGCTGAGCCCGCAACGCCTGTGCAGACTAGGACTATTTTCGTCAACGTGGAGCTGATCCAATTTGGCGCGAAGAAAAGTGCTAGCTCCGCTGGTGCTAGTGCCAGCGCAGGCGAGGATGGAAAAGCAGATGCGCAAAATGGAGGAGATGCCGAAACTTTGGTAGGAGGCGACGTAGGTGGTGCGCGCATCGAGGCTGTCGACACCACTACAGTATAGTATGACTTTGCGCCTGGCGCAGCCAATGAACAGTCGCGGCGGACTTCCGCCGGCAGCGCAACGTTTGGAGTTCAACGAAAAAAAGTAACATTTTGTTTAGAAAAAATCGGAAAATACCAAACAAAAAACGAATAGAAAGCGAACTCCGGAAAAACACTAAGTACACTCAACATACACACTCACACAAATACACACAGTTACACTACACGTGCATACACTGAAGATCATATATTGCAGCTTGTAGTTTCTTCTTCTCCTTCATTATTCTAACAAACAAAAAGATCAAACGCTACGTTTTCTAAAGAAAACACAAATTTTTGACGCTTTTTCTAAACAATTGCATTTGTTTTTTGCCTAAGAAAATTGACACGATTGCAGAAATACTCGTTCCACAAACACAAAGTGGAACCTCATTTCTTCTAAAAAATCCCTTTACTAACTTCCTGTGACTCCTTACAATTCTGAGTTAGAGATCTTCTTTATGAATATTTGTTAATTTGATTTCACACCTCAGCACTAAGACCGTTTTGCTGTATCTCTGTTAAGCAGTTGAGCTGCTAGTAAGAGAGCTTGAAATTGAGTGCGAAATTGTTCTAAAATGTACACAATAAATGAGAAATACCGCGAGTAAGAAAAAATGAATTAACAAACTATTTACATGTTGCATTTGGTTAGTCTTTCCCAACTTTCACTGCAAACATCAATAAATTTAATAATATTTTTAACAAAAGAACAACAAATGTGTGAAAGCAACAATTATACAATGCAGAACATAATTATTTACTTTTTTTATACACAAAAGGCATTACAAAAAAAATGTGAAACATGAATGAAATATAACTTGAAATAAAAATTAAAAAAAAATCGTAAAAATAATCATGAACGGGAATTATTATGTTTTTGGAATTACATTTTACAATATGTACAAAGAATCTTAGAGCTATTTTATTTAAAAGATATACCCTAAAAGATATAAAATGTCGCAGTTCTGTTATAATATGCACATATACAAAAAATGAAATTCCGAGGAGTTCAAAAAATATATTCTGGTCTCTATGGATGGCTGACAAGTCATCGTTGCGCAAGTGAGTCTGGTTATTTGTGCACTTTGAAACCTGTTGCTTATGAACCGTGTCTTGTTTTATTTTTGAAACGGTTTCGTCGGCTTTATAAGCGTGCTGCCAGCCGATTCTTTAATCTGCGGTGAAGGAGTGCGATCAATGAACTCAATGCTGTCCCCCTTTAACTGGACGGCTGCGGATGAGGCGGTCGCATAGTCGCCGTCGTGCACCAAGGGAGCGACGGGCTTCTCTTGGATGGGCGCCAGGCTGTTCACGATAGAGTTGGCCATGGCCAGTTCCAGTTCACGCTGCCAGTCGTTTTCCTTTTGTTCCATGGCCTTGCGCTTCAGCTCCTTGTAGCGGTTGTAAACGATGAACTCTTTGACCAGCGCAGTCTCTGGATCGCTGTCGCGTTGTGCTGACCTCTGCTTGGCCAGGCGCTTTTTCTTTTTATGCAAGGGCCGTGATTCCACAATCATTTCCTCCAGTTCTAGGCAGGGATCACAGTTGAGGTGGTCTTCAGGAGGCTTATAGATGGGTTTGATCTTCTTCTCGAGCACCATCTGGAAGTCAATGTTGCGCAGCAACGGCGTTTGATGCAGCTCCTGCCTTGTGCTGATCCTGGCACCCGGATAAGTGCACAGTAACTGCAATAGTCATAAAGTGTGTTTTAGCCACTGCCCTATACAATAGTATCATCCAATCCACCTTCTGCAGCAGATCGACAAAGTTGCTGCTCCAGTAGCGGGGATAGTGCACTGGGGTGTTCAATATATTCTTAATCTCTGCCAGAGCGGTGTTCGAGTGAACCACAAAGGGTCGAATGTTTCCCCGCATTTCATAAGCAACGACGCCAAGTGACCACCAGTCTACGGGATAGCTATAGCCAGCTGAAATTATTGGGATTGAGAAAGTATGATGAAAAGAAAAATTTACTCGTAGAAGGACGCGTTTCCGAGCCTATAAAGTATATAAATTCTTGATCAGGATTAATAACCGAGTCGGTCTGGCCATGTCCGTCTGTCCGTATGAACGTCGGGATTTCAGGAACTATAAAAGCTTATAATGATGTTAAGTTAAGTATCCACGCCCAAACTTAAAAAAAAAGAACAGAACGCTAATTCAACAAACGATTTCATGGTAATGTATTAAATGTATCAAAATGTATTATGTGTATTATACATAAATATACATATTTATATCACAAGCAGCATGGAAGTATTTCACTTGGGATAAGCAAGTTAAATCCTGGACGTATAGATCAGGAAATTACCAATAAAATAATTTCTGATTACTATAACTAATTGCAAATTACTCAAATGAGCTTGAAAATGCCTAGTACATGTATATTGCGACCAAGGGGTGTAATTAAATTTTAGTATGAAGAAAATTAATTAAAAGTAGTATATATGCGTACTGGATCTATTTACTCACCCACTTCGTCCAGGGCACACAAGAAAACCTCCGGCGCCATGTAGGGCTTGGTCCCCGACATACTGCAGGCCAAGGCATTTTTTTGCAACCTCGTTGCAATATTAAAATCAGTCAAATGAGCATGTCCTAGAAGTGATACATTTTATTATATCGGGCTGTTGATCTAAATAATTTCTATAGCTTGAAAATGTGTACAATGTTTGCTTGTAAATAATAAAATATGCACACACTTTTGCGGATATCATATTTAGCTCTTCAATCCTACCAGTTGCCTGGATTTTTCCACTCTATAAAGACTTACCAGCATCGTCCAATAAAATATTGTCGGGCTTGATGTCCCTGTGAACTACTCGGTGCGCCTGCAAGTACTCCAATGCACTGCCGAGCTCGCACACTAATAAGGCCACACTCTGCTCGGAGAATTCCACCTGGGGAATGGGGAGTACAAAAGGATGTGCAAGAGGATGTACAAAAGGATGTACAGGTGGGGGCAGTTGCCATGAGGAAACTCACTCGGTTCTGTAAATGATATCTTAAGTCCCCGCCAGTCAACAGGTCGCAGACCATAAACAAGTCCTCCTCATCTGTAAATAGTAGGAGAATTTGGGGATTGAGTGCTCTGTGGCCTGCTTCAAACGAAATGCTGTTGGTTAATTTGCATTTTGATTGGCAATTAGCTACACACAGATAGCAAATTCAGGGAAGAGCCATAGAAGTGCCATAGAGAAGTGCTAGGAGCCGCTAAGCCCGACAAGCCTCGGCAAAGGTAGCACCATCTGCCTATTTTCATATGCTCCTTCTTGAATATGGAAATAGGCACCGTTGGTAGACAACGGTAAAGGAAAATTATTATTATTTAATTATTTCAATTTTAGGGTTTGACAAGAACAATTGAATTCGTATTTACACAGTAATGTTGGCGTTGCTACACCCGTCACACATAGATAGAAACAGTATACTAGATTCTTTTAAGAGTGAAACAATAATGTATGCTATACATTAAAGCTCTTGCAGTTCCAAAAAAAAAACATGCCATTAAAACTAAAAAAGTATCGTAAGAATCTTTCTTATAAGAAAACCACATTCAACAAAGTTTGAATCCTCGGATGGCGGCAGCTTTACTTATTTCCTCGTTTGGAACGCTTGTACTCGATTGCATTCATGTGCTCGAGGATTGTGCCTGCGGAGACTTACCCTGAAACGAGAACCATAAATTGACGAGAAACGGGTGCTCCAATGACGATAGCAATTCCACCTCTTTGATGACGCCGCCGAGAGCTCCGCGCATTTCGCAGGCAGAGCGACTAACGTATTTCATCGCGTACAGGATGCCGCTATCCCGTTTTTGGACAATGCACACCTGCGAAAATATTTTGTAGGGGCGAGGGTTTTCCTTTAAAATTACCAAAAACGGATACTACCTTTCCAAAACTGCCCTTCCCTATGGCGCGAAGTATTTGGAAATGGTCAAAATTAACTGCAACGTAAGATAGGAAAAGTATATTTAAGTATTTAGGTAACAGTGAGTGTAGACTATTCCTCCCCGGAGCACAAACATCCTTAATAAATCTATATATGAATTTTTATTTGCATTCGGCCGCCCACACACCCGATGGTTTCTAGCTCGGCATTTGGCTCTGGCAGTCTACGCACAGCATGTGCCCCTTTGTGACCGTGAGATCCTCGGGAAGGAATTTCGGAATAATCTGGATCAACTGAAGTCTTTGCCGTGGGCACAAGAAAAACGGGGGTAGAACATCCACTCGCAGGAGCCACAAATTGGGAAAACAGTGCAAGATGAGCGTCTGGAAATGCTCCCTACTTAGGTAGCTGATCCTCAGCTCAAGCAGCTTCTGGCAGGCACTTGCCAAAATAAACCTGAAGTCATCTCCTAAAAGGGGTGTCTCGAGCAGGTTTAACGAGATCCTGGTCAACCTGTGACGCCATATACTTCCCAGCAGGGAACGACAGCGCTCGTAGCTCTGCATCATAGAAATCTGATCGGGCAGTTCCAGAAGTCCTAATATCCTCGACAGGCACAGGTCGTCTACTTTGTCCATTGCCTCCGGTTCGCCTCAGGTGTAAGTGCTCCACAAATTTAAGCAGTAGATGTTTTAGCCCCACGCCCACGTTTTTCGATCACATTAGGAAAAACTGTTTAATGGACGATTTTACTCACTTTCAGAAAATTTATTATTCTACCTATATTGTACCTGATATCTTTGATTACTATGCATGTTTATTTTCAAATTGTTTTCTCAGAAATATTTTGAACCTTCCTTTGGCTTCAAAGAATTGACTTTCAGATATTTAAATAAAATAAGGTATTATGTGTATTGTTCGCAAGGATTGTTTAATTGTTTTTTTTTTTTTTCTCTTTCTCTAGAACTATTTTCTTTCATCTACTGTATATGCTATAGTCAAGTTCCCCGACTATCAGATACCCGTCACTCAGAATATCGGTAGAAATTGGGAATAAAATAAAAAAAATAGTTGATTATTAAAAAGTGTGGGCGTGACAGTTTGTGAGAGTGGGCGTCGCAGAAAGTTTTTGGCAAATCGATAGAAATTTACATGATAATTATAAAATTAAAAAATATCGAAACATTTTCTAAACATCTGAAAACAAACTTGCGGTGCGTCTATTTTTCTGGAAGCTTCATGCTTAATCTCAACTCGGTTTTTTTAAAGTTTTTGAGATCGAGGCGTTTATACGGACAGACGGACGGACGGACATGGCTACAGATCCTGGTCAAGAATATATATATACTTTATATGGTCGGAAACGCTTCCATCTGCCTGTTACATACTTTTCAACGAATCTAGTGTACCATCGTATTCTACGAGTAAAGGGTATCAATACAATGTTATGATTTTGAAACTTTGTAAGGCCTTGTTGCACGGCGTGTAGTAGGTTATTGTACAAATTTGTATGTAGGATTTATATCCTAATTACAATATTAATATTTATCACATAGATATAATTCATTCAATCGATTCCATTTCTGTACTTACCATCGTCATCGGCGAGCAGACTAGCGTCGGATCTGCTCGATGTGTTTGCGCCCATGGTGCTACATCAATGGGTTGAATTGAAGTTGACTGGGAGATAACAGTCTCCCTAAACCTGCTCTTCTTCAAATTGGATATATGCTTTAGATGTTTGGTTTTGTAGTCGGGGACGTAGAGTTGAGAGAAACGAAAACAAGAATAAATTTTACAGATATGTTTAAGAATATAGCAATTGATACTAAATTCAATTATTAGATTTCGATTTTGTTGGTAATCAGATTTGATGAGATTATTATTTTGTAACCAATTTTCTTTTGATTGCTCAGGGCTTTTGGGATTTGGTAATGTCGATGGTTTTATAGAAAGTACACATAGTAATTGGCAGCTGAAAAATATTATAACGGTGTTTTCGACCTTTCCTTTTAAAATTCACAACTTAATACTTAATTAAAATTACGCTCATACGGACAGACAAACGATCCGACGGATCGGAAGCTAGCGCTTTTTTTTTACTGTTTGATAATTGCAAAAAAAATTGTAGCCACGCCCACATGCCACATTTAATTATATGTTTTGCTAATACATAGCTTTTATAATCTCCGATATCTTTCTGTTCCAGACGGACATGGCTAGAACGCTTTCTTCATCATGTTAAAGTTTTTTATTTTACTCAACCAGTAAAGGGTATTCTTTTTTAAAGGTCTCTAAAAATATTTTTTTAATTAATCCTAATATGCAGTTTTAGAGAGCTTTGAAATACTTTGCGATAAAGATTTAAATGGTTGTAAGCCCACACTTTTGTATTCAAAAGCGATTGTGACATGTAACCCTGAATATATTAAATCCCGACTAGCTGTCGACGTTTACAAATACTCCCGGTGCGATTGTCATTTTTATTTTATACAAGGCTTACAAAACACTACTGGCTCTGGCCCCATTTATCTAGCACAGCGCTAAAGTATGAGCACCGAAGAGTCCATAGACATCTGCGCGAAGGGCAGCGGTCGCGTGGAAACCGTCACCCTGCGCCAGAACGAACTCATACGGAACCTGCGGTGCCTGGTGGCCGTGCGGTTTGAACAGGCTATTTCTCGGATCATCCTGGTCTTCGCCGGCCAGGTGCTGAGTGACGAGGGGACCATCGACGGTAGGGGAATAGTCTCAGGCGTCACTGTGCACGTGGTTTGCCGCGCGGAAGTGGCAAGCCCTGCATCGCCGATGGCCAACGCGTTCACAAAGCTTTCCAAGCCGAGCGAGCGCCTGGTGAGGTCCTGGCAGTCGGCCCACATAGCCTATCTTCAACAGGAGCCCGCTTTGCTGAGAAACCTGCTGCAGGCCGATCCGCGAATCCGGAGTCTGCTCGATGAGAATGCGGCCTTGCGACATTACTTGAACAGCGACCAGAACATACGGGAGATGCTGTCATTGGCCTTTAGCCCGGCTAAGCAAGAGTTGGGACGCCGGCGCGACCTCCACATATCTCGCATGGAGTTTGTGCCTGGTGGGTACAAGGTCTTGAGCCGCCTGAACAACTGCATGCTGCAGGCCTACGAGGACAACGTGGCCATGACCTTTCAGCAGGCGTCACAAGGCGCTAAGACATCCTCGAACCCCCAGCGAGGTCGCGAGGTGAAGGACCCGCTTCCAAACCCGTGGTTTCGCACGCCGAGCACCTTCAATCCAAGAAAGACATGCGCTCTGGCCAGACGTATCATCAAAGGACGAGCTTCTCTTAGGCATAGGGACACTGATGCCAATTGCAGGCAGAAAAGCTCATCGAAGATGATGATTTCTATTGCAACACAGACCAAGAGCGAGGACCGTCGTTCCGGTGATGAGGGAAACTGCCAACACTGCTACCAGACTCAGGTGGAGCAGTTGGCCCAGATGGGCTACAGAAACCGCAATCGTAACAAACGCGCTTTGTTGATATCTCTGGGCAACGTTGCTTGCGCTGTAAGACTACTTGACCACTGGAATCGGTTTTTGGAGGAATGACCCCATTTGTACTTATTCTGTTGGGTTTCGTTATTGGCCGAGAATCTGACCAATTAATATGTACAATAAATAATATACATACATACGTCCTGGAAGATTTACCGCGATCCAAAGCCATTTGAATTTCTGCTTTGTAATCTTGGAGCCAATTGAAACCAATCAACGCGTAATGTAAACGTGTTTACTCCCGTTACTCGTAGAGTAAAACGATATACTAGATTCGATGAAAAGTATGTTAAAGGTGGATGAAAACTGCCACGCTTACACTTTTGGAAAATATTTTGATTTTTTTTCCACATTTTTATTAGCTGTGATACCAACTCTAATGCCCACAAGCCGCCCAGAACATTAAATAATGTGTTGGAATTTTTAAAATTTTCTTATTTGTGTTTGAAATTTCTATCGGTGTGTCAAAATTTTTTTTGTCTCGCCCTCTCTAACGACCACGAGCCGCCCAAAATGCCACGCCCACACTTTTGACTTTTTTATTTGTTTTAAATTGTATTGCCTTTTTTTTACAATTTCTATTGATATGCCAGAAGATTGTTGAACTTTCTCGTTCTCACTTTTACTAGCTGAGTAATGGAATCTGACTACAGCATTATCTCCTGTTTTAAAATAAGCTGTTGTAAATTACAACATAAATGATTAGTTTGGGAATTAAAAAAATAAAATCTAGATCTTAATGAAAATTTGTACTACCCCTAATTTAGAGCTTATAACACAAGATGGAACACTATAGTCGAGTGCCACCACTATCATCTATCCATTTATCTGACATTAATTGATAACTAACGTTTTAAGACAAGCGCAATTTACCTGAATTTGGAAACTTAATTTACAATGCGGATTTTCTCTGGATGTAGTATAGATAACCCGTTCTCACTGTATTGAAGTGAAAATATACAGTGTTGTTTTCTCGTCTCTTTTTTTTATTTCTGTTTCTTACAGGTCGTTGGAAAGAGCGTGTTTTTACAATTCTTACTATATATTGTGACAATGGATTTTTAAAAGGCGTCAGCTCTTTTTATGAAACAATACCTTTTTTTATTAACATGAATAGAAGAAGTCATACAAAATTGTAGTAAGCACCATGAGGAACATGAAAATAATTTCATTTTTTATTATTAGACTGTAACCTGGCACGTAGCAACCCACCTATTGAATACATTCTAAGAACTTTGCTTCGACAGTTACTGGCTTAAAGATGTTTATGCATTGCTGACACTGAACCGCAAGCTCTTGGTTTTAATTATTGTCCTGTTTCGCCGCCCAATCAGTTCAGAAAAAAGGATGACATCACATCATTCTCTGGCGCAGAGAAAAAATCTATAAATTGAAGCGACTTGATGGAGCCGCGATTCATATTCACGGGGTGCGTGCGGGATGATTGAATTTGTGTATATCCAGAGCTGGCAAGTAATCGCCGGTGATGTCTTAATATGCCCATCTGCTTTGCATAATCCAAATCAAAATGTCAGTTGGTGTCGCAGCAGCATAGATAAGCCATTGTTTAAGTAGCTTGTAGCTTGTAAGCGCAAAAAGGACGGTAGAAGACACCAAAACCCTTGGAAATCCAACTCTAGGGTTCATCGACATTCCCCGTCCGTTCTTTCATTCCAGATGGACAAACATATACACATGTACATATATACACACCACGGCCGGGTAACCCCGAAATACCTGCTTCTCTGCTGGGAGAATGGAGAATCCTCGCAACGTTTATCTGGAGGACGTCAGAGATTACCACTTCGTCTCCTTTGAATTTATCGATTGGCTTGGCTCGCAGTCGAGTTGTTGACTTTGCTCATACCTGCATGCACGGCATATTTGGATTGGACTCGCTTTTAGTGGTCCAAGGTGCTGGCACAAAACATGCCCTTACTACCCCCACCAGAGCGGAGGTGGCTTACTCCACAAAGTTAGCCAGTGTATTAGCTAATGTTGGTGCAGTGAGCCGTTTGCCGTTGCTGTTGCTCCTTTAATTCCCGGCAGAATATATGTACGCATATGTACGTACATACGTACTTGAACACGGAGCTGGCGTTGGCGAAAAGTCACGCGATTGTCACAACACCCATACAGCGAAATGCTGTGGCCACTGTTGCCGTTACCACCGTCGTCGGCAATTATTCACGTTTTCGACCCAGTGATTCCTTGTTATCCTGCTTGGCCGTCGAGCCTCCGAGTTCAGCCGCCGCGTAGTTGGCACTGAAACTGTTTTGTTTATAAAGACGCGCTTTGCTCTGCCATGCTGCAAACTTCTCTCTTCATATCTCTCCCTTTCTGTCCGGAGATTCTGCGCATGTGCGAGTCCTGCGGACGAAAAACAAATCGGTGAGCCTTATGAATGAACGCCAATTAGCCAAGTTGGCCAGGTGCACTAACTATGTATATTAATGTGCTTACTTTTGCTCCGATTACTTTTTACTTTTACTTTTACATAGCCAAAAGGCGCATCACTTGAGCGTAAATTGATGGCGCACATGTTTCACAATTGCCGGGTCCATCCATCTCCCTGATGGATAAGCCGACATCCGGTCGGGTGTCCTCCTTTTTTGTCCCTTTTGCCTTAAAGGCCCCTAAATTATGTGGATAAGGGGGATTAATGTTTTGAAACTCATTGGGCGAGCACGACCGCCAAGTGAGCTTTGTTATACATACATATAAAGCTCTTTACCACGAAAATGTCTGATTAATAATAGAAATAAGAACCTGAACTGAAAGTGAAGAAAGGGTAGTGTACGTGAGGACTAAAAAAAAAAAACAAATTTAAAAGAAAGTTGGAAAAAGGTATTATTTCGGGTAAAACAATTAATTAATTTAATTTATTTTAATTTACGCGATTTTAAGTAAAGAATTATTTAAGAATATTAAAATAATTTTAGTTCATATAGAAATTCGAACATCTGATAAGATAGAATGAAGAATTAGTAAAATAAATTTAAGACAAGAAGAAACTCTACAGTGGAGTTCGTTGACTATCAGATACCCGTTACTGAGATAGTGAGAGTGCGAGGGAGAAATTTCGAAATTTCTTTTTCAAGACAAATAATAAAATTGTAAAAATCCAAGCATATTTTAAAAGAATGGGAGTGGCAGTTTTGTGCAGCGTGTGGGCGTTACAATGGACGTAGCCAAAACGGTTTTGGTATACCGATAGAATTAGCTAGACAAATAAAGCGAACAAAAATCGGTCCTTTTTCCTAAATTATGGGCGTGTCATTGTTGGAAGGCTTGTGGGCATTAGAGTGGCAAGGCTTTGAAACAAACTTGCACTGCGTCTTTTTCTCTTTTATCTTGTATAGTTTCCGAAAACTCGACGTTTATACGGATGGACAGATCAATAAATTAATTCAAATTATAATATATTAAAAAACTCTTTCCTCTTTGAATAATATCTACACAAGGTAACAGATCATTAGGAAAATGAATACATCGAAATTAAGTTATTGTTAGCTACATATTTTTGTATTATTTTATTATATTTATTATAAATCTGTGGATTTTTAAGAAAATGTTGGAATTTCATTTGACTGAGTAACGGGTACCTGATATTCGGGAACTTGTTTACTTTAGAGTTAATCGGACATGTATTCCGATATTCCAAATCAACTGAAAAAAATGGTGATGGTTTTGTCTAAGCGATGCTATTCTAGGACATGACAATTTTAAAATCATCGTTAGTTTTCATACAAAGTGCTAGAGTACTATTCGGTGATAAACTGATGGAAATCGGTGGTAGAACAACTTAAGCAATAATAATCCACCGCTATTTTACACAAAAACACAACCGACCAAGGCATAAAGTTTTATAATAAAGCCGAAATTTTACCGCTGTTTTGGCCGCCGGCTCACGCCCTTGTTTCCTTTAAACGTTAATTGTTTTTCACAGTTTTATTTCCAGTCCATTTACATCAGCACCAATCCGCCTGATAACTTTTGCTAGGCGTAGGATAGGCATGTTGGCTAATTTTTCTTTTGAGAAAGGGTTGGCAAGTATTGCTGACCTATTCTTGTGGATGCACTCATTAAAATGCTTACACAAAATTTCCCTAAAGACACACTTTTCGCCTGTACATCCAGAAAAAATCAGTAAAAAGGGATTCATTATCAATGTTCGGAGCAGATCGCCCGCGCATATGTGTCCCACTGTTCCTGCAGCGCTCTTTTCTCTTTTCGCCATTCCTTCTTCTCTCGCTAAAGTTGTCGCCTTATCTATTCAGCTAAACCACTTTGTAAGCTTATGCCTATAGGTTTATATTTTGAAGCCAAGCTTTTGCTTATTCAGTCTTCATCTCCGAATAAAACAGAGAATACATATAATATACATTAATATAACCTATTTGTACGTTCTTATTAATTAATTATAAGGGTGGCATATTGTTGTCTGAGAGTTGTTTTAGTTACTCGCTTACAAGCTCAGCTTGAGCGCCTTGGAGTTTGAATTCGATCTTAAAATAAACCAAACTACGGACTTACCTTAATAGGTCAAATATTTTTTTCAGTTGAAACATAAAACTTTGAATAAAAAAGCCTTAAGAATAAGTTACTAAATCAAATCGAAACTTGGACTTCCAGGCTCAATCAATGCTCCACGCACTCAATTCAATGGCGATCGTCTATGAGCCTAGACTCTTGGCTACTACTTAAAGCGAAAATACTTTTTTATACATTTTTTGAAAAAAAACCCTTTCTGAATGTACCAGGAATTCGGCAATTGCTGGGCTCAAAATCAAGAGGAGCAAAGCGGACTGTTATTTGCTTGCATGACCAGACATCAAAAGAACACGCCAGCCAGCCTTTAACCGCTGAGTAAATCAAGTAAAAACAATATCCTGCTTTCGGATCCGCAACCGAATGAGGTTTTCTTTGCTCTTAGGCAAAACAATTGTCCTAGCTTATATACATATATCCAGAACGAACAACGGCTTGGCGAAAATACACTTGGTTCAAGGTATAAGCTCGTTTATCAGGCTCTTATAAACCAAAATTCGTGAATTAGTAAAAATGTATTGTTTTGTAGTCCACGTAGTGACGAAGTGCACTAGGAGAGTGTGTAAAGGGGACTATATACATGAAGAAATTA